TACTGATTTAAACCACTTCAACCAGTGATACAGAAGATAAATGGCATCCTCTGTTGCCAAAGTATAACAACACACGGCCTTTTGTATCTTAACCAATCGCTCAATCTATTATGCTATGTTACTCACTGTAAATGAACTTCCTTCCTGTCCTGTTTACAATTAATTGAAATACTAATTGTAACAGCCTTTGGGGATTTACAAAATGAGCAACACAGAGTTGTAGTCTAGATGTCCAAACATAGTCCGTTATGATTTATAATGATCAAGGAAGTGCTATTAGGGTGTAAATAACCTCTATCCTCCACTACATACTGAAACCCCTTTTAACCCACTTGACTCCTTCCATATGAATCAACCAGGAGTTCAGACTCAGACCATGTCTCATAAAACCTACTCATGCCTGAAGGATGTTGTTGAGGGGGGTTGAGGTAGGTGTCTAATGAGCTTCCCCCTTATTTGAAGTCCACAACTGATGTCGAAACCTTGTTATTCACCCCCTGAGTGGGCAGTAAAGCATGCAGACCAGCTAACAATAGCATCTGATGTGGTAAAAAAAACAAGCTGTTTCCTTATTTACACCATATGTCAGTGTTTACCACAGGGCCAAATGAAGCACTCCACATCTGGGGAGCAGTTACATGTTTTGTGTCCACTTCTACTCGGAAATTAAAATCCAGGAAAAATGTCAAAGTTGTTGTGAAGTTCAGTGGATACAGAAAGGCAGTTAAACTGTGCACTGATTCCCACTGGGGGTCATCGATGTGTCAGGTGCAGTGACACAGATGTTTCACAGTCACAACAAGTGACGCTTAACTTCAAGACACTTCCCTTTTCTCTGTAATATGTCCTCAGATAAAATCCCCTCCTAAAAATACTAAAGAAGGTGGGTGCGTGCCGGATTATGTTCTCCAAATTAGGACCAGATTTTCTATAAATGTTACTGCTTCCTGTCCTTTTTTGTTCCCCTCCCCATTCCTGGTAATGCTTAGTAAATGTAAAGGGGAAGGACAAGAGCTGATTCTGCAATATCCTTTAAATCCCAAATATTACACCATAGTATGTAGAATATAGAGTTGTAATTCAGTGTAGGGAAAAACATAATTGGAAAACAACTTTTGCACCCTTTGTCCGAAAAAAGTGGGACATTTTCAAACTTTTGGGCCACTTTTAAAATATATAATTAAGTGCATACAGTTGCTGTTTAATGTGAAATAAGCCCATCTTGTGTTGCATACACAGTGTTGGGGTCTAAAATGAATACAGGATAATGGTTTAATGAAGGACAGTGACTTTTATTATCTAGATCTTGGGGGCAATGTCTTTTTTGGGCATATTATGACATTTCTTGGACACATTTTCCCTTTGCACACCTTCCCTTTTTCTCATTGTTTGCAAAAGTTATTTGGCCCAGTGATTTAAAATGAGGATGATTCACAACTATAACAATAAGGTATATATATTTTATCTGTAAGTTTTATCCAACATTAACGTGCAGTGTGCAATAGGATAACTCCTGTATTCCATATGTGCCATAAAACATAATTTACTGCCTTTGAATGTATATAATCTTGAGCAGTAAAGGCATTGAAAGTAAGGCTGGGACTCTAGAAGTTTTCCCTGCTTTCTCTGACATTTTATTTTCCCCCCCGGCTGAAGTCCAGCACTAAGATGTCACACAACCACAGCATTTTTCCTATGTGGGCGTACGGAGAGTGGAAATGAAAGAGTGAACGGTGAGCAAAGGGCAAGAAAAAAAATCCCTTTAGCTTCGGTTGGGAATAAAAATAACTGCAGAGGTTTTTTTCATTTTCAGGGGAGAGTGACAGATGATTTGTAGAGAGACTGAGTGTGTTTTAACCTGCAGGGAAAGAGAGATATCACTCAAATCGTCACCCCTCTTTTTGCTTATTCAGCAAACTGTACTCTGGGAGTCAGCCTCCTTTCCAGCGTCACATGCGCACACACACGTGCACGCACAGCTGCAGCTGCTGTGCTAATCAGCTACCTCCCCTGAACATTAGTTTTTAGTACTTCTCACACATATTAAAAAGCTAAAAGTATGGTATAATTCACCTCCTGCATGAAACAAACTTGGATAAAATAAATGTACTGCATTAAAAGAGACAGTAACACGAAAGACATATGCAGATGTTAGCTTGTTTTTGGTGCTTTTATACTTAGATCTTGTACTTGAGTAAAAGTAGAAGTACTCAGATCTTGTACTTGAGTAAAAGTAGAAGTATTCAGATCTTGTACTTGAGTAAAAGTAGAAGTACCAGAGTGTAGGAATACTCTTTTACAGTAAAAGTCCTGCATTAAAAATGTTACTCAAGTAAAAGTACAAAAGTACGATCATCAGAATATACTTAAAGTACCAAAAGTAAAAGTACTCGTTATGCAGATTAGTCCATTTCAGAATAATACTGTATATATGATATGTTTTATAATTATTGATCATTAAAGTATTCTCAAAGCTGGTAAAGGTGCAGCTAGTTTGAATGACTTATATGTAGTGGAGTTAAAGTACACCATTTACTGTACAATTGTAGTGGTATAGAAGTACAAAGTAGCAAAAAATATAAACACTAGCATCTCAAAATTGTGCTTAAGTACAGTACTTGAGTAAATGTACTTAGTTACGTTACACCACTGGCTCTTAACATTAGTTTTGTTGTACTTCTTTACACACAATAAAAGCTAAAACGTTGGTATACATCCCCTCCTGTTGGGAAAATAAGCGTCATATCTTCTTGTCCTCAATAAAGCACGAGACAAACCTGCATAAAATAAATGTACCGCTTTTAAAGAGACAGTAACACGAAAAATAAATCCAGATGTTGGCTTGTTTTTGGTGCTTTTGCCAGCTTCCTGTACCTGGCAAAACCGCCTGTATAAACATACCAATGATATTCCTATTTTGTCTCAATGAATATGAAACCTTTAAAAGCTGTTTCCACTTACTTATCAAGCACAAAGTACAGGTCGAAAGCTCCCTGACAGGAACTCTCTTCCTCCTCCTCCTCCTGCTGCTCCGGCTCGGCTCGTGCACATGGATAAGAGAGCAAAAATAATCCGAATAAAACCAGAAAAATACGCATTGTCAACAGAAACCTCGCCATAGTTGTTCCTCGGTGCAAAAAAAGTTAATTCCTTTGTGGATAAAAAGAAAAAAACTAACTGTCGAGTGTTTTCTTACATCCCAGAGACAGTTATATAATTAAGAGATGCAACAAAGACAAAAGAAAAGGATGCAGGCGATGCTTCCACGTCTCTATTGTTTTCAGCTCAGTTTGCAATCATGGCAACCAGCATCCCTTAAAAAAAGCGAGATGCTTTAACTCAATGGGAATGACTGAAAATGAAAAGTTACGGATATTTCTGAATCCACATGCATGAACAAAAGTTTAAAAGATTCGCGAAAACACATCCAAACTCGCAAGGAGGGTAAATTGTTCAATTTAGCTGAAATGGGTGGTCCGTAAAAATCATAAAGTATGACAAATCTAATGTCAAAGCGGAAAAACTGGTCTAAAAATGTCAAAGGAAGCCGGGTAATGCGGAGCAGTGTTGGAACTGGGAGCCCGGGGACAGACTTGGCTGAAATGGTCCAGGTTTCATATTTCAACCCGAGGAGGAGAGAGAAGGAGGAAAAGTGGGTCAAGATCCCATTTTGCGCCTCCCTCACGTGGCACACAGTAGGCTACTGGCGCATTTCTCGAGGAATCAAGACATTTGAGACGATACATCTGTCACTCTTGAAAGCGTCAACATATTGTCATACATTAAGCTTACCACCTTTAACCGATGCGTGCATTTAAGTCGTTTCCCAGCATTTTGTCCTCATTAATCACCACGAGTTTGTTTGCTTCCCCTGTGCCTCGGCAACTTGTTAATTAGCAGTGGCCATGAACAGAAACATTCTCTGTAATTACACAGACATCATAAACACGAGGCTGCAAGAAGAGTGTGGAACATTTAGGAACATTTAACGTTTTAGTGTGGAATATTTACAGTGCGCAACACTAACAAAAAATACACTAACAAAAAATACACTAACAAAAATACGTTTGTTGTTGTTGTTCATAAGCATATGGAGGATTCTGAGCCACTGTTCATGAATTGTCATGGTTGAATTTGGGAAGATAAATGGATGGCATTATAATATTATTATTATTATTATGTAAGAAAAATATTAGCAACATGTGTTTATGGAAGCAGCCCTTTGATAGGGTTATTGTTATATTATTTAATCCCTCAAAAGTCAAAATGTCACCGTGATCTAAACCATCATGTTTTATAGTGTTGTAATTTACATTTGTATGTAATGGCAAAATAATGTATCTCTGCATAAAATAATAAAAAGGAATTTCCTGAAACTCTTTAGAATAAACATGATCAAATAAATAAAATAATTGAAAGAAACATTGTTTTCCTTCTGTCTTCCTGATGCCTAATAACTCGACCAACACACTCTTTTCAGTTGTCTTTTTTATTGTGTCTCACCACTGGATTTGATTCAACCCAAGTGTTCCCACATAGCATAATGGACGTACAGTATGTCAACACAATCCAACATGATACATGGACAGCAAATATAATTTAAAAGCCTTTTATGTGTGTGTTTACTTCCTTTGTTGCCTCTCCTTTGCATGTGGTTCCTCAAACATGTTAAGATGATACTCATGTTACAACTGATTTTGACACACAATTATTCATACTTGCTTCACAAAAGAATCAGCTTTTCAGCACCTTTCATCCTCAAAACCTTCCGCAGCCAGAGTAAAATTCAACAAGATAACAAACTACAAGTAAATCCTGCTGTTGAACATCTGCTCTACATTAAAAACTGTCTAAAAAGGCTTTATGACAATGAATAACAGATTGAACTCTACATTCTTCATTTTGAGTATAATCTATAAATCTTGAACCAACTTAAGATAAGAAGAAGTGCTTTATTGGTCCCACTTTTGGCCGCCAAAGCAAAAGTGAGTCCCGTTTTTTCAGGATGTGGTTAACTTCTGGGGTCCGAAGTTTTTGTTGAAGATGCCCTTGGCCACTTCGAGGGCACCTGCAGCTGGGACGGGTATGTGCGGCGCGATGCCCGCCCCTTCCCAGGCTGGACCGTTGGAGGTATCAGAGTGGACGGTGGGGATGCTCAGGAAGATGTTGGTCTCACCAACACTGAAGGTCTTGGGTGGGTGTGAAGCCCCGGCGGTGGTATCTCCAACGATCATTGCGCGGCCGTGCTTCTTCATGATGTAAACGAACTCCTCTGCAGCGCCAGCAGTCGTTCCACTGGTGAGGATGATCAGACTCTTCTTAGAGCCGTATCTTGGGCCTAAAAAAGAGACGGTAAGATGGAAGCAGAATGTTAATTGAAGACGCCTTTATGTGCCCCGATAAACATTCCTGTTGTCATCTTGCTATATACTAAATTATATAAATAGTTATCAACGCAATAATTGAATTTAATCTTAATTTACATTATTCAATTGCATTCTGTTCTTGTACATATCCCATATTCTATTTACATGTTTATAGACTTCTTGCACTATTTATTTTTGTATTTTATTTTATATGTTGCATTGTTGGAGGAGCTCAGGTTATTGCCATTTCTACAAGGTAGCTGCATATGACATTAAAACATTTGAATCTTGGAATCTTTGAATGTGGAGGCGAGTTGAATTAAAGGAAGGCCTTCGTGCTAATCGAAGACGCCTTTAGAAGGGCGACTTTAAAAGCCGATCACTTAACCAAAGAAGGTATCATATGAACAGCTTTGTAGCTTATTGGAACCCACTTTAAATGTTATCAGCTGATTGAATGGGGGTTATCGGACGTAATAGATATGGGTCAGTTCAAAAAGGCAATTCATATAATTAGATAGAATTGTACAAATGAAGAAGACACCAAACTCAAGTAGCTGTCGTCATTTTAACTGGAACAAAGGGGGGGAAGTTAGGTGACGCAGTTAAATGAGCAACAATGTCGTTGTCGGGAATTGTCATAAAGTATTAATGAGTCAAATTAACCAAAGACTTTCAGCCAGGAAACTGCTGTTTGTGCACGATGAGAAATCTTAACACAACACAATGACTTGTTTAAGTTACGTAATGTAAGTTTCATAACCACCTTGCATACAAACACATTTTTCTCCGTCTGAAGCATCTGAAAGGCAGTGACAGCAACTGATAACGACCAATGAGCTGATTTCATTTGTAAGAGCTGTATTATGGCCAAATTGAAGATGCATCTTAAAAAGCACACATGCTTAAATGTAGAACCTTCACCACCAACTCCAGAGGGAATATCTGGCACTGAATGCTCACCATGTAGTCACTTACTTTTTTGCTAACCGTAATCTATGACGTAATGTATTTTACCAGTGAGTTCAGACAGGCTCAGGAGCTCTGTTGTGTTCCCGGTTGTTCTGTCGTACAGCTTGTCCAGCACAACCTGCTGGTCAGCGTCAAAGAAGTAAGAGCAGAAGCCTGCAATGGCTGTCGTTGGGCCACCAATGTTGTTCCTGAAAACACAAGCAGTTATAGAACAATCATAGAAAGTCTGGATTCATAATAATTGAACGATTGTGAGGCCATGATAACGGTAATCCCACGTTATATAATAATTTGTAATGGTAAAACGAGATGATTTGAAGTTATTTTTTGCAAGCAAAGTCCTCTATATTAAATCACGGAGCTTCAGCAGATTATTTATTTTCCAGAAGAGACGGACAGTATTTTGAATAGAAGCTTTAAAACAGGATTACCCACCTGAGGTCGAGGATCATAGCGTCAGTGTTGACAACTTTGTTCCAGACATGCTCAACAATAATCTGGGCGATGGCCTTGACCTCCTCAAAGTCTCCGAACATGTCGAAGCGCAGGTAGCCGATGTTGTTCTCCAATATTTCATAGTGGAAGGACACTTTGATCAGCTCAATGAACATCTCTGGAGAATAATTCTGTGGAAAAATTACATATATAAAAAACTAAGGATTTGTAATATTATAGACAATGTCAATATGTCTCACGCAAAAGTCTGATTTTCAGTAGATTTTCACATATCATTTCACATTCCTGCGTTTGAAAATGTATATTAATATCATATCTTCATTAGACTAAACATGCTCGTCTAGCAAAATCCTCTGTTAAATTGACTTTAAAACAAATACATTTGTGTTGGTCATTGTTAAACTACTGCACAGTAATGCCACAAACACCAAAGTATTTTAGATTTAGTGAAGTGTAAGCGAGAAACTTCAAATTTTTGTCGGTAAGTAAGAACTCGATTAAAATCAACCAACAGAAAAAAGCTCTTTTTGACCATTCACAATGAAAGACAATAAAAACCAGAAACTAAATTCTATGTGCAACGATCTCACCATGGGTGGCAGGGCTGGGATGTTGCTGGTGGTCTTCAGGCTCTTGTCCCCAGACAGGGTCTTCAGATCAGCGGACAGCTTTGTCTCCAGACTTTCCTTGGAGATAACCATGCTGTACTCGCCGTTTGCCAGAAGACCTTTCAGCTTTTCCGCCACATGAGCCCCAATATCTTCAAAGGCGTAGTTGTCGGCAACCAGAGTCGCTGATCCCTCGATAATGGCTGGAACTTTGGCACGGAGGTTGAGGATCTTGATGGCGGTAGCGAGGGCGTCCTCTGCGTTGACCTCCACATCGGGGGTCACACCTGTAACCTCCCATGATGAGCCGGTGATGGGGTTGATGGACTTTGCGGTAGGAACTGTAACGTAGAAGTCAGTGTCGCCCACTTTGAATTTATCTACTTTGACAGAGCCCCCAGCGGTCTTCTCGCCCACAATGGTGGCCCTCTTCAGGTTCTGGAGGCAGTAGGCAACATCCTCGGCGATCCCCTTGGTGTTTTTGCTCGTGAGGAGAATGAGGGGTTTGCTAAGCTCATATCTGGCCCCAAGCAGCGTTGGCAGGGAATTCAGTTTCGTGGTGGTGTTTGAAAGACGGTCATACACGCTGTCGATGTGAATCACAGACTCAGCATCAGTGAAGTAAGACACAAGGTAGGGGACTCCCGTGATGTCCCCGCTGCCGGTGTAGCGCAAGTCAAAGATGAGAGCTGAGGTTGGAAGGATCTTATTCCAGACCAGGTCGAGAAGCAGAGGTCCAACCTTCTCAGCAACCTCCTCTCCAAGGATGTGATCGATCCTCAGGTAGCCGATGTTTCCCTCCAGGATGTCGAGCTTGATCGAGGTCTGGAGGACGGCAACGAGCTGCTCAGGGGGTAAGGCAGGCATCTGCGGGGGAACCACAGGGACGTAGTTTGGCTCATAGGAGACTTCCAATCGTGGGTCACTCACGGTGGTCTGGACTCCAGAATTGAGGACTCTAGCCAAAGACTCACCGTCTGGGATGTTGAGAACCTCTGTGTTGCCGCCAGCTGCTGCGATTGCCTCCTTCATGCCTACCAGCTTCTCTGGTGAGCAGTAATTGTCCATAATGATTTTTGCCATATCTAGGATGATGCTGGGCGAAAACGAGGCTTTGATAAAGATAACATTCCCCAAAACTAGCAACGGGGCCACGAGGAAGATAGCCTTTGCCATTTTTGTGAGTTTTTCCAGACCAAAAGTGAGGAGATGGGAAGTGGAGGTTGCCGAGCCGAAAACCTCCCTCTCCGATAAGGTTCTTTGTCAAATGTCTCTGTTTTGGCTGCGAGGTTTCTGTTACCCGACACATAAGAGGATTTGCCCAACAATAAACCACTAATCGCATTATCCTGAGTGCTTCTGGAAGGCAATAATAACTTAGTGTAGGTGTAGTAACAAGGACGTGCTGTCAAAGATAAACTTCTTAAATTTACACAAGGTATTTTAACCCCTATTTAAAGTTGCCTGTGTCAAATAAGGCAACCTTTGTACCTGACACATTGGGAAAGGGATTACATTTGTTAGGTTCACTTATTAAGCCCTTTGGCCTCAGTGTTTATTGTAGAAGTCATCGATATGTGACTTGTTGTGCCATTAATCAAGAAGAAATCACAATCAATTGTTGACATAAATCATACGAAAACCAACTGAAACAATTTCATAACATTCATCTGCTAATTACTAATTATTTATGTATTATCTAATATATCATTCCAATAACTTGTATATAGACTCGTATTGCACTATTCCACTTTCATTCATTTTTCTTTTTGTATTACTTTTAATATAGTATATTTTAATATTGTTTTAATATTGTCTGCTTATCTGTATTATTGTGTTGCATTGTGGGAGAAGCCTGTGACCTAAGATTTTCAACGACATAATTACTCTGTTAGTTTGACAATAAAGAACCTTGAACCTTGAATTACCAACACAAAGTTGTTCATTTATTTCTTCATGGTTCTTTATTAAGGGTTGTCAATATTTGCTGATAAGTAAATTCAATTCAAAATCACGGCTTTTATAACCACTGATTATTATTTTATTGTCTTGGGAATGGTACATAACAGTTGGTGGTGGTTGTCTCTTTTTCTGCAGTGGTGTTGAAGTGAACCGGAGATTCATTTGAGGTTTGTTGGGTACTATCGCCCTCTGCTGGTAGTTTTGTAGTAAAGGAAAAGGAAAGCTGAAACATCATCACAGCATACTAAAAAAACACAATGCAAAGGGAATAAAGCAAACACCCCAAACATTTAGCAAAGACATGTGAAATGTCGGCTATAATGATATACAAGTTATTGCATTATGATTAAAAAGATGGCAATCAATCAATCAATCAATCAATCAATGTTTATTTATATAGCCCAATATCACAAATGTTACATTTGTCTCAGTGGACTTCACAGTTTGTACATAATATCAGTATGACAACACGACACTCTCTGTCCTTAGACCCTCACATCGTACAAGGAAACACTTCCAGAGAAACCCCACAGTTTAAAGGGGAACATGGGAGAAACCTCAGGGAGAGCAACAGAGGAGGGATCCCTCTCCCAGGACGGACAGACGTGCAATAGATGCCGTGTGTAAATTGAAAAGATAATACATTTGCAACATAGGTAGTCCAAATGTTTGGAAATGCATGTGTGTATAATAGGAAGATGAATCCACGAGGATATCCATCCAGGACTTATGATCCAGGACCACAGCCACGACTCAAGATCCAGGACTCGCGATCCATGACACAGGACCGCAGGATCATCCATGACTCCGGATCCCGGCGTATATAGACACCAAAAAGAAAGACATTTGGGGAAGCTGGGTTAATCGGAACATGAGAGTACACAGGTATAGACAGAGAGAAGGAAGAAGTAAGATGTCCCCCGACAAACTAAGCCTATATCAGCAAAACTAGGGGCTGAATCTAATCAGCCCTAACTATAAGCTTTATCAATGGGTTAACATCGGTCAACAGAATACATTGCATGTTAAAACAAAAAAGGAATAAGATACAAATAAAAACAGAGAGAAGGACAACTTCACATGCTAGGGATAAGAAATACGCAGATTGGGAAGTCTAACAATATCATATAAATGTACTTAAAGAAACACATAAAAGCAAATGTATTAAAAACTTGAATTAGGCTTTTGTAATGTCAATGGGTAACAACTTTCATAACTATTTTCAGGGGTCAGGGTAGGTAAGGAGATTTGAGGGTTTTTCTTAGCTAATTTGTTCAGTCCTTTAATCCTGTAAAGCCCAAAAATAGAAAACTATTTTTTCAGATAAACATGGAATTCATGCTCACTCAATGCAAGTCTTTTTGTATACAACAGCTTGAATGTAAAAGTATATTGGGAATGGGAATCTGGTAGATAATGTAGAAATCACACACTTGACACACTTACAACAGATATAGCTATTTTCCTTGCTTTTTCTTCAATTGCCTTGCTGCTATGAGTCTCTGTGCCACAGAAAGAGCCCCATTCGCCTGAGCTACGACATGCGGCTCAACCCCAGAAACACTCCACATGTTCCCAGTGATGGCGCTAAACACAACCTGGTTAGGGATGGACACGTACAGAACGCTTTTCCCGATCTGATAGGTTCCACTTGATAGAGACCCTCCAATCGTTGGCTCTCCGATGATTGTGACTTTGTTCAGATCCTTCAAAGAGCGGATAAACACTTCAGCTGCTGATCCTGTCAAGTGACTGGTGAGGATGTAGACACCTTTGGAAGATCCATACCTTTGACCTCTGACTTTAGGCCAAGTCATCACTTCTGTCATGGTGGATTTGGTGCGGTCAAAGACGGTGTAAAGATGCTGCAATGGCTTATCCTCAAAGAAATAGGTACACAGTAGGGGAACTGCTGATGAATACCCACCAGTGTTGTACCTCATGTCAATAATGAGGGCACCTGTGTTGACTATCTTGCGCCACACTTGTTTCACCATCTGAGGCCAAATGGCTTTTACCACCTCTACATCTGGCATCATGTCCATCCTTAGATAGCCAACGTTGTCGTGCAGGAGCTCAGTTTTAAACACAGAATGAATTACTTGTCCCACTTCTTCAGCAGTAGGGATCTCTGGGACGTCATGAAGCGAGTCTGGTTCAATGTCGCAGTGGAAGACATGGAGGCGGTGATCGCCCGAAGTCTCTTGGAGGTCTGCAGTCAACAGAGATGCCAAAGAGTCCGAGTCGATCACAGACCAATACATTCCGTCTTCCCATTTGTTCATCAGTACTTTGCTGACGTTCAGTGCAACTTCATGGATTGCATAGTGTTTTTCTAACAATTCCCCAGTTCCCTCTATGAGGGATTTGAGCCCTTGGTGTAAATCTGCAATCTCATGAACGTGTTCCACAGCTTCCTCGGCTAACACAATTGCATCTGGTACCACACCACCTCCTAGCCAGTATTCCCCATTGTTGTCTAAAAAGTTTATGACAGGGACAGTTATAGCAATATCTGTCCCCTCTATTTCATACGTCTTTGAATGCATCAGGTTCCCGGAAGTAATTTCCCCAATGACTGTGCCGCGATGTAGGGACTGTATCAGGTAGGCTAATTCCTCGCCAACGCTTGCTGTGTTGTAGCTAGTTAACACGTAAACCCCACGTCTTGAGCCGTAGGTATGGCCTTTCATTTGAGGCAAAGAGTCATATATTGTTGTTATGTTTTGAATTTGGTCATATATTGTGAAAAAGTGAAGCTTCTGGGAAGAATCATGCAGATAGGAAAGTATCAGAGCTAGAGAGGTAGATGATCCACCAGTGTTATAGCGTAGATCAACAACCAGGTTTTTAGTATCTTTGAGGGGCTCCCACACCTTTTTAGCCACGATCGTTTCTAGCTTAGTCCCTTCAGACAACTTGAAAAACTTGTCAACGCGGAGATAGCCAGTATTGTTTGTGAGTATTTCGACTTTGATCGTTGTATCTACCAGTGCTTTTAGTGATTCATAATCTTCTGGAACGTTGTCAAGCGCAGGGTCCCCCTCCTCTACTGTGTCAGCATTGTCTGGCATGTATTTGATGATCAGTCGAGGATCTTCGGACAGAGTCTGGAGGTCCTGGTTGAGTGTGACTACAAGGTCCTCCTCAGATACAACAGTGGAAAAGTCTGTAGTCTTCAGATGTTCCAGTAGAGCTGGAACTCTGTCAGTGAAAGCGTAGAACCTCTCGATTATATCTGCGATACTCTGCACAACTTTTGGGATGGCACCTCTTACAGCCAAAAGGGACTTGGCTTTTGCGACAGCTTCCTTGGCGTTGACGTTGATTGTTGGGGGAACGCCACTTACTTCCCAGCTATGGCCTGTGATTGGACTGACTGATCTTGCCACAGGAACTGTTATGTAGAAAGCTGACTGAGGGATCCTAATCTTTTCTACTTCTACTGACCCACCAGCAGACCTTTCCCCAACTGTGATAGCCCTCTTTAGGTTTTTTAAAGCATATGCCACCGCTTCAGCAGCCCCCATGGTACGCTTGCTAGTCAAAACAATCAGGTCTTTCTTCTTTCCATACCTTTCCCCCTTTATTGACGGCATGGTCCACAGCTCTTTAGTTATGTTCGACTGCCTGTCATAGACAGTATCAACATGAATGAGGGGCTCAGGATCTGAGAAATAGGAGATTATAAAAGAAACTCCAGACATTTCTCCAGCTGTGCTATACCTCAGGTCCAAAATCAGTGAAGAGGTGTTAGCAGCTTTGTCCCAGATGTCGTCCCTCAGCAGAGATCCGAGCTTTGCGGCTGTTTCCTCCCCAATGATCCGATCCATCCGCAAATATCCAACGTTATTGTCCAGGATATCCAGCTTGACAGAGTTTCTCACCAGCCTGATTAACTGCTCTGTGGGGAGAGACGACAGTATCTGTGGCATCACTGGGACGGCTTTCGGCTCGTATGAAACAATCAATCGTGGATCGTTCAGTGCCCCTTGTACTCTGTTTGTTAGCACAGATGCCAGAGTCTTCCTGTCTGAAATCTGTTGGATTTCTCCTCTGTTGATGGCTTGTTGGATGGCCTCCTGCATCCCAACCAGGTTCTCAGGGAAGCAGTAGTTTTCCGAAAGGATCTTGGCCATTTCTATCACCAGAGCAGGCTGGAATGATGAGCTGACAGTAGATAAGAGTAGCATCAATAGCAGCGGTGGAGTGTGGTGCTCCATCACTAATGTGTTCATCATCAGTGATGGAAAGAGATCTGCTCCGGATGATTTAGTTTGGATGTCCGTGTTGAGGGATATTGGAGGAGGGAACATTGACATGTTTGTAGGTTTTTGGGACAACAACAACAATCCACATAAGAGGCTTTTGTCCCCAATAAATCACTTTAATCGCTTTATCTGTGACGCTTCAGCCAGCAGACAATATCAGACGGATCTAAAATTGGTAAATGGTGCTTTATTTTCTCTTTTCCCACACAAACGCTGTACATTTGTTAAATTCTTTCTTGTTTTTGCCAAGTAATGCCAGGTCTTTGTCTAAGGGGCTTAATGCACTTGACACACATCTCTAAAATTCACAATATAATACTTTTTTCTTTTCAATCTTTTCCTTTAAATTCATATCAGGTTGGAAAGACAAGTAAAACATTTGTTTCGGGCTGATTGATGCAAAATCCTGAGCAGAAACTCTCCTTCTCAACCACTCTCTCTCTTGTCTGTTACAAAAGCTTAATGTTGGTGTATTTTGGTGCGGTTTGTGGCTTTAAAGGTCACGTCTGGGTCGCTCCACTGGTGACATGATTACACATTTTGTAGACACGTGGCAAAGCCTTCTTAAAGCACATGCAGGATCAGAATTGGGGGAAAAACAGATCCACACTGGACAAAAGGTTGATTAAAAAGGCTTTATCTGAACTGAATGCTGAATTATTCTAATTTTTATCCTTTTTTTTAACAGTTATGTTTCCTGTGGATAGTTCTTTGTGTTTTTAATCAAAAAGTACATCTTATAATTTGGTTTATAATCAAACAAAGACTGTGTCCATGTGAATAACATATAAATGCACGTCCCAAGTTGTTAATTATGTACACTGAATTGAACCTGACATCAATAAGTACCCTGTGACATAAGATCCAGAAAGAATTGCAGCTCAGAGTTATGCACCCAGACGACATCTCATTACAAATACTAGACGCAGTCAGCTAATCTTAACGTCTTAATTGTAATACCGCCTCACGCTTTAGATAATAAAATAATCTCTGCCGATTCCCACGACAACAATCTTTTCACTCACTAATGGTTTGGATTTTGAAATCCCTGAATTGCTAATTTGCTTGAAATACCACAAACATTACCAAATTAAATGCTAAACGGTAGAAATATTCTCTGAATGTAAGACCACTCTTTTAACTAGCTGAAATAATCTTTTATTATTAACTAGCACTAGCTAAACCAGCTACACACTAGCTATATCAAGCTAGCTGCTAAGGTGTATTTCCAGACACAGCAGGAATGGGTTTTCATGGTAAAAGCCCAAACAACAAATGCTACCTGCCCGGCACCTGCCAAGGTTAAGAGCTAGCTTGTAAATTAGCTTGTAAATATAGCATAGCATTTAGCACAATATATTTCCTGTTAGAGTTGGAAGAGAGCAAACAGGGGTAGGGAAGTGAATATTGGACTCACATTGGGCAGATGAACAGACACACACATGCCACTGTTTTTTCGTGTCGACTCTATGTGTTGGATGTTTTAGCCGCAATGCATGTAGGGATATGGTGTTAATGCCATTGTCGCTGTCACTACCCGATTAAACAAATAAATAAAAACAAGGATAATTGTGTGTTATTGGTGAGTAAATAACAGTGTGTTTTTTAGAAAAGAATAACAAATTAGAAGGAAAAAAAGATTTTTTTAAAATAGTGATTTAAGTATTCTCTGAGCCCCATTTCTTTTCCTCACAGACGACAAAAAAAGTCCGACATTATACGATTTAAAATAAAAACAATAATCGTGGCTTGATATTGAGTAAGAACATGTTTTTATGAACCCCAGCTTCCGGTCTTCCAAGACCCGAACGGACAAAAAGACGTGCTGTAGGCACGAAACAGACTACCAATAGAAATACATTGCTTTTAAAATCGTTCTGTGTGACACAAAAAAAGGGGAAAATCATGTTGGTGAACACAAATCAATAGATTAAATGTTGTGACTAATTACACAAAATTCCGTGAGACTGGGTTGTTTGTTTGCTAACACGTTAGCCGTAT